TATCCGTGGGGGGACTAGGGCTGCCCCCCCCCCCAGGGGGAGCGGGGAAATCCCCCACTTTCGCAGGTTTTTGCCCGCCAATGACCAGCTGGCCGGTAAGGGAAATCCCGCCGCCAATTGACCTTTTGGGCCTACTTCTGGTTTCAGGCCTACTTCCTGGCCATTTTTCCATCCGGGGTGGGCGATTCTGTATCCTGAAATCCCATTAAATTCCCGCTTCAAGCATCCATGGGGGGACTAGGGCTGCCCGCCCACAGTGAGAGCGGTGGAATCCCCACTTTCGCAGGTTCTTGCCCGCCGATGACCAGCTGGCCGGCGGGGGAAATCCCGCCCCCAATTGACCTTTTTGGGCCTACTTCTGGTTTCGGGCCTACTTCCAGTTGGGGTGACGCTCTGGTTTTGGGGCAGAACTCTATGGCATGAAGTCGAAATTACCATAGAGTTTTGCCCAAAGAAACAGAATGTCACCTCCAACCAGAAGTAGTCCCGAAACTGGAAGTAGGCCCGAAAATGCCCAACATCACTTCCAGACACCTGGAAGGACATTGGGAGACCCCCGCTGGCCAGGTTAGTCGATCATAGAGTCCACCTATCAAACCAGCCATTTTATCCCGAGGAACTGATCTCTATGGTCTGGAGATCAGTTGCAATTCTGGGGGATCTCTAGGCCCCACGTGGAGGCTGGCAGCCCTAAGTGATAATGAACTCCTTAAATCTGTGTTGTAAAGTTGTGCTTCCTTTGAGGGCTGGATTAGGGCAACCTGAGGCCGTACCCTAAACTAGAGTTGCCAGCTAGGGTTGCCAAGTCCCCGCTGCCCACCAGTGGGGGATGGAGGGTAGGGTTGCCATCTCCCCAATGGGGGCGGGGTTTCCCTTTCCCAGCTGGCCATTGGGGAAGCCCCACCTCCAAAGAGCCCCCATCACGCCCAACACGCCCGGCGCGAAGACATTACCCGGAGGTGACGCTCTAGCATTTGGGTTAGAACTCTATGGTGACCCTAGGACTGGGCAGGACAGGGGTCATTTCGTAGAAAAAGCCCAATGGGGGTGGGGTTTCCCTTGCTTTCGGGGGGCCCCAATCCGCTGACAGCCAGCTGGCCATTGGGGAAGCTCCGCCCCCAAAGAGCCTCATCACGCCCGACATGCCCGGCACGAAGACATTAACCGGAGGTGATGCTCTAGCATTTGGGTTAAAACTCTATGATGACCCCAGGACTGGGCAGGAGATCCCAGGATCGGGCAGGAGCACGCCCGCTGTCAGCCAGGTAAGACCTGGCGACCCTAATGGGCAGGGGGGGTAGGGTTGCCAGATCCAGGTTGGGAAAATCCTGGAGATTTGGGGATGGCGCCTGGGGAGGACAGGAACCTCAGTGGGGTACAATGCCACCCTCCAAAGCATCCATTTTTCTCCAGGGGAAACTGATCTTTGAAGTCTAGAGATGAGCTGTACTTCCAGGGGGTCCCCAGGTCCCACCTGGAGGCGGCCATCCCTATATGCCAACTCCAGGATGGATAATTCCTGGAGCTTTGGGGGGTGGAATCTGGGGAGGGGAGGGTTTGGGGAGCGAAGGGATTGCAACAGAGTATAATGCCCCTGAGTTCACCTTCCAATGCAGCCATTTTCTCTACAGGAACTGATCTCTATAGTCTGGAGACCAGTTGCAATCCCCGGATATCTCTAGGCCAGTGATGGCGAACCTTTTAGAGACCGAGTGCCCAAACTGCGACCCAAAACCCACTTATTTATCGCAAAGTGCCAACACGGGAATTTAACCTGAATACTGAGGTTTTACTTTAGAAAAAACAACTCATACATTAACTTAAGATGATCCAAACAAAGTAAGGAAAGCAATCCCAAATGCTTTCATTTCCTTAAAATGATTTGGCAGAGAAGTCGACACTTTAATGATGGTCTGGGCCTGGCAGGCGCGATGGCACCCGTGCCCACAGACAGGGCTCTGAGTGCCGCCTCTGGCACCCATGCCATGGGTTCGCCACCACTGCTCTAGGCCCTGCCTGGAGTTTGCCAACCCTACGCTAAAC